GGATGTAGCCGTTACTACGTGGTAGGAAATCATAATGAAGAAAAGAGAAGTTAAACTTTCTATGTTTTTTACCACTTTTATTGGTAACTAACGTTACTGCAGATTCATCCCATAAGGAAATTTTCCAACTTATGGATTAAAGTTGGTGGGTCGACCAATTTGAAATCGAAGACCGCCTGCCCGGTACTGACGATGCCCAATAGTCCGAAGTAGCTATCTACCGATGGCTTTTAAATTGAAATCAATATGGGAATTATCAGAATAGTGCTGCAACGCCGACATAAAAACTTGGCGAGCTAACTTGGGTGTCATATCAATAGGTGCTTCGACTTATGTCGCGCTTGCGTTTACGCAAGCGTATATATGAATGGCGGATATTGCTCAATATGCTATTATTCTATGAGAAGGAACTATCGGATTAGCACTCAAAGGAAAGTGGGCACATTGCAGACACGTGTTTCTGGCTGCTCAGCCTTCGTCAATACTGTTCAATCAAGTGTAAAAGATAAACAGAAGTTGGTTGAGAAAAAGCGTATTCATCATCAGGAGCCAACTGCAGATTCGTGCCATCGGCATCGTCGAAAGATCTTATGATTACAAGGACTACTCTCAACTCAGTAACCTGCATGACATCCGGGTCCGGGCTAAGTAGCCAAAAACACGGCCTACTATTTCATTGTACTCTACTGATGAGAAAGGTCGGCTTTTTTGAGTACCGTCTCAAGAATAATGTGTCGCGACGTTTGAGGAAGTAAAAGAAATGATAATGAAGACGTCAACTACAACTACAAAAATAAACAAGAGTCCATTGGCTATTACTTTCTATAAAGCCCTAATCATATCGACAATATATAACAAATCAGTGTCCTTCTCTCTTTCTGTAACTCTATAACTACAAGCAGGCAATTGATTACATAATACCAGGCTCCGGTCGTGGATGTCGACGATATTCATTTATATTAGACAATCAGTTAGCTCTCGCAGTTTCTGCATGGATTGGTAAATTATGATATGATTCAGAAACCGTGGAAATGAATATGTATTAGCAGTTAGTAGTCAGCTTCATCTTACTTCAACTAAATGCATCAAGGTCCTTACACAAGAACTCTCAACCTTCATTTTCCGAATCCATATAACAAATTTTTAGATTCACTCATAGATGTAATTGAAACAACCCCTATGAATTTTCAAAAGGTGTACCCTTATGTCAAACATATTCAAATAAATTGATAGAGATGTGATTTTTAAATAATTCATCAAACAGCGCAGATGAAAAATGTTTATATATTCTTAATTTCAGGGTTGCGATAAGCAGTCCCCAACTGATGTCCTCATGTTGGACTGGCAGTTCTGTTCACTTCACTCTCCCGTACTAGATTTGAGCTATTTCATTTACGCAAACAGTTCCAAATACGAGATGGATAAATTTGATGATCTGATGAAGTATTATCATGCCCATTTTTCAGTCTTTCTGCGAGATTTGGGAAGCGATCCACAAAAACTATTCCCCTTCTCTGCCTTGTTGAACCATTGGAGAAAGTATGGGGCGTTTGCTGCAATTTGGGTGATTACTCTTTTAGACACAATGATTTGCGATGAAGAGGATGCACCATCTCCCAGTGATTTCAGTGAAGGTACTGGAATGGGAGACCTCTTTCTGAACTTGAAAATATCTGACGAGGAGATGTATAAAAGTCGACTAGTGGCGATAATTAATCATTACTGTAATTTATAACGAGAATGAAAATTGCACACAACATTCTGTTCATGTGATATTTCATGATAATTTAACACTAGTTGGATGGCCTATTTTGAAAATAAATAAATGAATGATAAAACATTTTCACTAATTTCAGAAATTCGTAGAAGTATAACTTTCGAGATGTATCAAATTAAGTTATTTATGTTGACATTGGAAATTTCACAAATATGCCCAATCGGGAATACCCCGTCCAGACTTATATAAGATGTTCCTCAATGAGATAATTTAGTGTTAGGAATCACTCGTAAAAAGGTAAGACCTCGTTAATCCTTAGCTCGCACAAGTTTCGACTTCTGAAGGTTGTCGTTCGTAGGGGTGCGNCTCAATGAAAATAAATAGGTACAAGTGAAGAAACAAGAAATTTTGGGGCAGGTGACGAATCACGAATTGACGAAACAAGAACAAATCGTTCCGTTTAATTAAAAATTCAGAATGATTCCTTTTGCAAAATATGACTGATAAACAAGCTGCTTTCTTTATGCACCAGGCATTTTGATTCCAGATGAAAACGGAACTGACACGCCACTGAGACGTGACTGATGTGTGTGAATAGGCCTTTATGGTAGTTCCATTCATTGCACATAGGTTAGGTTAGGTTAAAAATTTTTAATTCAGATAAAATAATCCCAATTTATGTTTATTCTCCTTAGTTTCAATTGCTCATATAGAAATGAAATGTTCAACATATAACGAACTCAACGAAAACAACATATCTACCACTCTTTTCGATTAACGTTACACCGGTTATCAGTTAATGACGTAATATTACATTGCGCTGTTACCACTTTAGCATCTTTCAGTATGGGAATCCAAATCCGGTTGAGCGTTATCGCCTGCTCTTTTCTGTTGTAGTTTTCCATATGTTTATGGATTTCTATGGCTTTCCGTACAAGCAGAATGTGGTATCCATGATCGGGGGAAAGTAGTTTCAGATCTTCAAACAGTATCATGTGATCTCCTTCACTAAGCGCGTGTTTCGCTACTGCCGATTTTTCTACTTTACCTAATCTACAGTTTCTTCGATGTTCAATCCGTCTTGTACGCATGGATCTTTAGGTGATATAGTCGAAGTAACCGATATAGTAATTTCAAAGCTATCGGCAAACTCAAAGGCCAAAAAAACCAATACAAAGAAATAATGCCGCTACGAATTGATCCACGTGGACTGAAAAATTGGCGGTTCGTATTGGATAATTTTTACTAACCGAGTTTTATGATTGGCTGAAGAGTCATAAAATTGAATTTGAAGTTATGTTACGGTGACCAATAGAATGTGACGATGGTTAGATAAGTGGTGTTGCCAATTTTCAGTTCAGGAACTGATCGCGGTTTGAGTGTTGAAATTCAATATTGGTGAAGTTATAGTTACTTTAAATTTTTGTTATTTGTTTAAAATGAGGCGTCCTTGGACAAGTACTAATAGTAATAACGAGTGTGATAACAATGCTCACATTTTCCTGTGTAGTGACTCCAATAGCGCTGGTGAACAATGCAAAAAAGAGATACCACTGAATAAGATTCGGATGGATTTGAATATTGAAACACAGACTGTATGTTTCAATGTATATAAGAATCTACATATCAAGTTTGGTTTCAAGGGAAAAAACTATTACAATCAATATCAGATTTGACCGAAATCTTCAGAATTGTATAAAGAAACTAGGATTTAGATTTAAAACAATAAACAAACGTCAAGCTGTTATGGAAAGCAGAAGAATAGTGTAATTGTGTAAAAAATACTTAGAACGAATAACTAAATATAGACATGAACAACGGCAAATTTTCTATTTGGACGAAACTTGGTATGACACTCACGACACTGGGCATTGATGGTTCGAGAATGTGTATTTTAACATGCCTGCAAACAAAAGATCGCGACTAATTACTGTGCATTGCGGAGGAAGTAAAGGATGGGTTCCGAATTCTTTGAAATTATGTGGAAAAAACTTGAGGACTGCAATGTTGTCTACTATAAGAACATGGAAGCTAATATTTTTAAGGAATGGTTTGAAAACACATTGATCCTCAATTTGGATGCGAATAGTGTAATAGTTCTTGACAGCGACAAAAAACGGCAAATTCGAGAAAAGATGGAATTCAAAGTTTTTTAATGGATAACAATTTGTATTTTGAAGATAACTATACCAAAAACCAACTATTTGAAGTTTTACAGACAAAAACATTTGAAAAATTGCATGCCCTTGAGAGTATTGCTGAAAAGTATGGACACACCATA